CAGAGCTAAGTGTTTTATATACATCTTAACAACTTGGAGTGTCTTCAAAATTTATGTATAGTAAATATATTAGCAATAAGTCGTTTTTATGTTCATAGGTTACTGTGGAATAAAGTGTTTATTGATTCATTCATTTAGCCACATCCTTTTTTAATAAAATAAATATTAAAGCTAACATTTCGCTTAAAATAATATAATAATAAGCAATAGTAATTAAACATATTTGTAAAGTAAAAAATTTCAAAATAACTCAAATAAGATGATGAATATTATACAGAACTACAGATTTTAATACCGCGATACGAACTATCTACCAGAGTCCTAGAGGTGACATACTCCACAATGTTTGAGAAAAAATGCACAGGAAAAATTGGCAGTGTGCGCTGGCACTTACTCGGGTGAATATTGCTTAAATATCACTTACATTCACACGACTAAGACTCGATCAGCTGCACAGAAATAAAATCAGCTGAGTAGCTTGAACAGGAAGTTCTGGTTAACCGTTTGTTTATCGATATAAACCTATTTTACTGTTATAACGAATACCGATACTATGCTGTCTTTTATTTCAATAATATAATTGGATAAATTTTCAGATAAATTTTCAGAGGCTTTTTTCCGTCATTGCGGTGGCAATTTTATTTTTCATAATTCATTCAAACCAAATGTGCTTGATTATAGATTACGATGCTTTGAATCTAATAATTTGTTAGGCAGGATTTAAAGCAAAATAAGTATTTTTTCTTATATGCGCCACAAGAATGAGGGTTATAAGCCATTAATATTACTCAACTAATTATTTAAATACATTTTCTTAAATTTTTGAATAAATATGTTATTATTTATCTTTCTTTTTTTTTAATTAACTTGTTGGTACTATAAACATCGATAACACAGTAACGTGATGTAAACAAAAATATAGCAGGTTTAGCTAGGCTGTATAGTTAAAACGATGTAGTATTATTTTAGCATTTAGAATAAACTTTTAAAAGATAACAATAAATCTTGTACAAACACAATAGAAGTATTTCTCTAAATAACATAAAAAAGTATAACTTCTGAAATAATACGCGTATAGTCAGCCTTAATTCAGAAGTCTTTCTTTATCTTACTAAAAACTTGAAAAATATACCCAATTTAGATATGACTTTTTATATTTTGTAGAGATTAAAAAGCAAAAGTATATGGAGGATTCATTTCATTAGTTAAAATTTTCACTGAGAAACTATCGTCTTATTCTATATTTCCAAATCTGGAATATTCCATTCCCATACCACAAGCTCCAAACTAAGTCACAAATAGATAAGTAATTGTATTCTAGGATAAAATTAATATTAAGTATTCAAAGTATATGCATTTTAAGTATATTGTGGCTATGTATAAAGTATATTCTTAATTTTGGTGGTACACTACGCCACAGCAATGACACCACCGTAATGACTACCAAATGGATTTTCTTAATGTAATTTCCCAAATAATTAAGTTGATATTCACAGGTCATAATGTCGGGACAATTATCGATAGAATACATCATTCTGTTCATTTTGAAAATTTTTCCACCGAACGCATACGCCAACCAAAACACATTTTATGAGAAAGTTGCCTCAGGAACGAGTTAAAACCTGCGCATAAATCTTTTTTTCTAATTACAAACACGTGAAGGCCCAATTAACGTTCATGGTGGTCCGAAACAAAATAGATAGAATCGATTGATTAATAGAAAATAAATAGTGAACTGTGATCATCAGAAACGCAATTTTCGGGGGACAAAAATATATTGACGACCCGATTTTTATAGTTCGGTACTTAGTATAGTTGTTGTGCATTAAAATGTGAAATGAAGTAAAATATATTTAAAATGAGATCTTTCGATAAAATATATGTTAAAATTTCATGTAATAGTGATCTTTTGAAGGAGAACACGCCTCCCAGGAGTAGGCCGCTCATATAAGTTATTCATATAATGTCATAATAAAACATTCGATGTGAAATTTTCTTTAAATTTTATATTTATTGTAATATATTTTAAACGGTAAATTATTTGAATGTGTATATATTTTGAATGTGTTTAGTCAGTTTTCAATGATAGTGTTTTTTTGATAAAAGATCATCGGACGCCATAAATGGTACGCTTGAAAATTTACCCAATCGTATTTTTGTGTAGTACAAAAAATAATTTTCGTTTTTTTTTAAATATCTAGGTATCTATCCTGATTACGGGAAATATTATAATTTAATATACAAACTCTGAATCATTATTAGACACGTAAAATATGAAATTCTAATGGATTAATATAATTATTAGAATAAAATTTTCATAATGATCAATTACATAACTTGAATATTTTCTCCAAAATTTTATTGAAATTATGATAACAGATTTCTCTATAATTTTTTTACATTTAATAGTACTGGCAAGTTCTTCTAGATCATCATCACCAAATTATTTATGTTCCCATTGCTGGGGCTCAATTCTTCCCTATGATGGAATCAAATCATATCGGATAGGCAGAACGGGTCGTGGCCTAGAGCGGATTTGTGGGTATTAACTCGAGATAATAAATTTTTATTCTTAATACAAAATGCTTAAAAATCCACTTGGTCCCTGGCACCCTGAGATGGAAATCGAACGCATGATCTCTCGCAATCCGGGCGACTGCTCTAACCACTGAGCTACCCAGGACCTATCAGGACTGACGAATCTTTCAAGCACTTGTTTTCAGTAGGGCATTGTGAATGCAAAATTAATAAAAATAGGTATAATAAATTTTTAATCACCCAACCTATGTTCAGCCATTGCGAAAGTTGCTTAACAACCGTATCGCAGACCGAGCTCTCTCTCTTCTGTTGTTTCGTATTTATCCCATGACGTCTCTGCCCATTTCTTTACTCATCCCAAACTAGTATTCTTTTAAGTAAGGAATATTACAAAAAAAAAGTATTAGTAGCAAATTTCATTTTTTTACAGAAATTTTTTATACCTACAATAAAAATACTTATAAAACGAAGTGTGCATGTTTCTTTTAAAATGTATTTATTACATACATGTTCTATTAAATATGTTATTATTTCATCATCATTAACCTATAATGTTCCCACTTCAAATTTTCTTTAAAATAATTTCTTTAAACATTATTTTACAGCATTGTGAATGTAAAATCTTAATATTATAAATGTGAAAGTTTCTTTGTTTGGATGTTTAGATGTTTGGATGTTTGTACGTCAGTCACGCCGAAAGTACTAAATGGATTTTGATGAAATTTGGTATACATATAGGGTTAGCTGACTTAGATAAAAGGATACTATTTATCCCACTTAACATTTCTCTAGGAACCACGCGGGCGAAGCCGCTGGCGAAAGCTAGTATTTTATAAATTTATCCGAATTTCTCTAATAGAACAACAATTGAAAAATAATGAATATAGATTTAATTAAATAAAAGATAATAGGATAGGATGAACTAGGGATACTGATAGGATGTATAATACATTTAATATTAAATAAAATGTTGCAGGTTGAGTAAAGAAGGAAAAAATAATGCGTAGAATGAGACGTCAAAGGATGAATATAGAATAGTCAATTTTTTACGCTGATGTCTTTTCATCTACATAACGGATGTTAATGCAGTTTTCGTCAATATATAGAGTAATGCAAAGTAACTAACAGTTTTTATGTAAGTATAATACAAAACCACGCGGATGAAGCCCCTGGCGGAAAGCTAGCTCAAAATAAACGCAAGTTAGAATAATAGACATGCAGACATAGAGTAGCCGCTGGCGTTATTTTGTAAAAAGTGAACATGGCGTAGTAAAATACTAAATAAATGTTATAGTGGCTTTGTCTTATTAATTTCATAATGTTTTAACTTAAAAAAAAACATGGTTAGTAATTAACGAAAACATATGTCAATTTACGTTGAAATGATAAGTTATGACAACTTTCATGTAACTTAAAAACATTGAATAAATTAGGGTTCAAAAACAAATGATAAAAAAACATATTATCGATGTCATATTTAACAGTTAAAGCATTTCACCAAGTCTATTTAATGAATCTACTAATTATGAAATCTGTGGAATAAAATAAATGGTAGTTATTTATAATAACGGATCTTTTCAAATAATTAAAGTTGAATTAGCGTTATCTTACTTACTACATCTAATTCTATTATCAGGACATCCTCGACAAGTAATAAACTGCCAGAGAGCCATAAGCGCTGAATCAGTGATATGTGTTTCAACGACTTCTAAGTGCACGGCCCTGATAGTCAGACATGTAAAAAGGGCAACGTAGCGCTTGACATGCTTTCTGCCGACTGTTACATTGATGGGGCCAAAAATTCCACGCCGATATATGAAAAAGGCCTCTTGTGGTGAGCTAGGCGACCAACTGGCAGATCTCCAAATGGCGAGATGATAGGTGATGCTATTCTAATTTTGCAAAACTGGCACCGGTGAGACATGTATTTGATGAAGGATCTTAGGTGTAGTACATGAAATGGCAAACGCATCTAGTTGATAATAAGTTCGCAGTTCCCGTGGGTGTGCTTCTCGTGATAGTGAAGTAGCCGCCTGATAATGGGGTGGCGATCATCCAGAACCAAAGGTTGCACATCTCCCAATTGAACACAGTGAACTTGCCAAAAATGAGTTTATTGACGGAGCCGCACTTTTGTTAGGTTTGTGGATGATTGTTAGAAATTGTGGGAACGTTACCGAGCAAACCACGTGTGTGCTCGACACACGTGGTTTGCTCATCATTTATTGAGAGATTTGTTTATAATGTGACATATCAAAATCAACAAAAAATACAAATTCAGAAGACATAAAGATTATTTACAAAAGCAGATGGCCAGTGTCTATCGTCCACACTTAGGATAAGTGATTATGATCCATAGCACGCACCAAATAAACTCACAATTGAATCACTGGATAAAAATCTACTCACACTTGGTCAAAAGCAATACTAATTTAGAATTGACAACAAACGTAAAACAATATATAAGCGATTGTTTGAGTCGTATCATATTCTTATAATATAATAAGGTAATAAATAGCACAACGCAATAAAAAACTAATAAATCAAAATGCAAGCTTTAGAACCAAATACATGGATAAAACATAGAGAAGATACGTTGCAGCAGGTTCGCAAAATACTTGGCTTGGACAAACCCGGACGTTTGGATGAAGCTATAGACATCTTACAGGATTGGGCAAAGAAACAACCTCATTTTAATCAAAAAGAATTTGGTAAAAATATTCTTATTTTGAAATTATCTAAACAACAGTCATACTAGATTACGAAAATAATTTTAAACAAAAACAATAACAACTTTTGTTATTTGTATTCTTAATGAAAAATCACATCTCAAGGTGCCAGGTACCAAGTGGATATTTTAAGTATTTTCCATTAAGAATATTCAGTAAAGCATTGTGAATACCGAATTGGTCAAATATAATAATTTTGGTATTTGTGATAATGATACAGTTTGTATTAAGTGGTATTCTTGGATTTATATGATAAATCCCCACATTATTTTTAAAAAGCTATACTTGACTGACCAAAATATTAATCAATTTTGTTATGGTCTTGCTTTGGATTGCAGAGCACTTGTACTCCTGTATAGGAGCAATGGCTGTTATTTTATTTTTAACATTTTACCCTCCATTGTCATGCTTTCTTACGTATATGAAATACAACAAACGAATTGTTTTGCTATATGTGAAATGCCATACCATAACGGCATAAAAGTACTTAACTAAACTAAACTTAGTACCTAAGGAAATTTTCTGTTTCGTTGATAATAAAAGATTGAAAAAGAAAATATGAGCCAATCTATTGAATTTATTCTAAAAAAATTTGATTCAGAGTAAGATCTTACTATTCAGCTCACTAACGATGGCCTCTAGAATGAACAGTGTCAATATTTATGAATTTCTTTTCAGACCGTAATTATTTAGAAAGGTGTATTATACGATCAAAAGGATCCGTGGAGAAATCTAAACAGCATTTGGAAAACATGTGTATATTGAAAACCATTACGCGTCAGTTTTTTGATAATTCCTCGAAACCTAACGAATTGGCCACAGACAATATGTAGGTATTACGTTATTAAAATTAGATATTACGATAATTTGATTTATGCAAGTTAATTTTAATAATCTGTAGCAGAGCATACAACATTAATTTTATGAAGTCAAAATCAAAAAATAGTTTTAGGGACTTGCTTTCTCCAGAATCTTATTGGTTACATCGTGAAATTTCAGAGAAGAAGCTCTAATGCCAAGACAAACAAGTGATTTTTGTTCAATTTTCCTTTTGAGGAGTCGGCATCGTGAGGATTACTGGGAAGACCTCGTATATAGATGTTATTGTCGAGGTGCTAATGTAAGTTCAAGAAAGATACGTTACTATGTGACATTTGTCAGCTGTTCTTAAAATTATAGTAACAGCAATGTTTGTTGTAAATACTTTAAAACACTTTCACTATCTACTCCATTTTTCCTTCCTGGCTTTATGTACGACTCTTTCAACCGTGGAATGGCCTTCCTAACTTCATCGGACGATCTCCAAACAAATTCATTTTTGAACGGAAAGCTCACATTTTTCTCTTAAAACTGAAAAGTTTAATTAAATACCAATTCGTTATCTAGTTTTCGATCATTTGGCATCCGATTTGTCGTTGAAAATCTTACGTATTTTCATTATTACTGTCATAGGATTCTGCAAATAGGTCTTTGTCTTCCCACTGTAATCGGTTACTGCTTACCTTAGTGGGTAACCACAATTTTAATAATTAATTCTAGTGTTAAGAATGGGTATTAACTAACTTACCTATTGCATTTCAGAGGGAAAGCTTAAGAGTTTTTAATTAATTCTAAACGTTTCCTTACAGAACTTTGAATATTGGTATGCTTATGATTATAATCTTGGCTATATAACTATTTTTGATCTCAGAGATTCCAATCTATTTAAATTGGTTAAAATGCTCGGAACACCTGTTGTGCGTACGACATTACTTGCTATTTTCGTGAGTATCTAATAAATTAATTATATAGTAAGTAAAATTTTATTGAAGTACGTATTGAATATTCTGGAATTTTAATAATATCACTTTTTACAGAAATATTTTGGATCACGTATTAGAAGTATACATCTTTTAACTGAATCAAAATTAGTACATTCCCTTGCAGCTGTTATAAAGCCGTTCCTACGTAAACAGGCTCAGAAGTTGCATATACACAAAACTTGTGAGGAAATGTATAGTTATGTAGACAAAGATTTGTTACCTTCTGATTATGGTGGGAAGGAGGAAACGTTAAGTGTTCTTTCGAGTAGGTAGAAGTGATAGTAAAAACACAGTATAGTTGTATAGTATGGACCGAATACTTTTTTCTGTAGTGATCTCTTTTCATTTCAGAAAAAATGTTGGATTACTTAAGTACTGATGAAGTACAGAACAAATTCAAAATTACGAAGAGATACACAATCAATACTGAGATAAAACGACTGCCTCAAAATCTTGATGACGACATCGATGATTTGGACACTTTCAAAACACTCACCTTAGATTAGACGAGAAACAATGCGAAATCTATTAGTATTATTCGTGATACAATAAATGCGTGTCTCTTGTTCTATTTATCTTCATTTAATGATAAGAGAATTTATCTTTATTTAATATTGAGCCATTTCTTGTTTATTAAAGTAACAAAAAAATAATAATATAGGTTCGTATCTTATATTTTTCTATTAGCTGACTAATTAGAATTTTTTTATTTACCCAGACATTATCCCTATTATGTGAGTTCATATTATGTTATGTGTTCGTGCAATAATAGTTTATGCGATTGACATTCGATATGAAAAATCGGAGGACAAATAAACAAGTTAAAATGATAAGTCTTGACAAATTTCACGTTAACAATGTCAAGTTAGCAGAAAAACATTGAATACATTAGCAGTGTTAATAATAAACAAGGTTAGACGTTGGAGTAAATTTACGCTAAGACTGCACTAAGTTTTAGTAAAAATTCATATTATTAAATAGAGACTTAGCAAAAGGTTAACCTAGTACGAGATTTCACTGGAGTAATACTTACTCCTAGAAGGTAGTAGGTTTGCTTATTCTCTACATAATATGAATTTGGAATAATACTAAAATTGCAATTTCAGCTTTAATTTATTCTGACGCTAAACCTTGTTTATTAATGACACTATATGAGATTAAAAATACTTTTCACCATCATATCTCTGGTTCTCTTTTCTTTCGCTAAAACAGATAAAGCATTAGGTGAAATAAAATGAATGGTGGAGATTTTTAATTAGAGTTTTTTATAAATAAAATACTGAAAAACAGACACAACATTGTATTAAAATAAATTATACAATGAATATAGTACATATTCTGGTCGGATTCCAAAGCTTAGGATATGTGATCATGATCCATAGCGGGCACCAACTAAACCCACAATTGAACCACTGAATAAAAGTCAGTCAAAAGCAATGCTAATTTGGAATTGACAACTATCCAAAAATGATAATAATCATTGGTTAATTAACCAAAATGCAAGATTTAGAACCAAATACATAGATAAAATACAGAGAAGATATGTTAGAGCAGAAAGCCGTACGATTGAGCGAAGCTATAGACATCTTACAGGATTGGGCAAAGAAACAACCTCATTTTAATGAAAAGAAATTTGGTAAAAACAGTCTTATTTAAAATTCTTGAGTACCATAGTCAACTGGTATAAATGGATCATTCTCAGAATAAAATGAAGTTGTCCTCTAAATATTGTCTCAAGAGTCTCATAAAATCTAGTCACTGTCTAAAGCTATTCGTGACGTTTTCTAGTCTATTAACACTAGAAGCGCGTTTTAATTTTTATGCCGATGAAACTTTTTGAATTTTAATAATTCTATACATTAATAGAATTTAAAGTATTTTAAATTTTATATCGGAAATACTTTTGGAAAAAAATACGCTTTACCTAGAACTGCCACTGGGTCATTGTTGTCTCATTTTTATTTGAAGGAATAATTTGATATACAATCATTGCTCCGGGAAGATGCGGCAGTGGTGGGACGATACATGTGCGTACAATTGTTCAGGAGTCAGTTGGCCACACAGAAAATTATTACGTTTTACTATTGCTGTGCGTAAAGAGCGTACCTTCGTTACTGACTTCCTAAGAGTGCTTCTCACGTATGTATGTGTATCTAGTCAACGTCATAAAATAATCTAACAGCATTAAATCGTGCCTTTATTCAATTACATTTTGGAAGATGACTCAGGTGCCCAAACTTTGGAATACTCCAGTTTTCCATGTGACGAGTCTGTAGATACTCAGATAGAAACACAACAAGGTAACTAACTTAATTATTTATGTCTCCGTGACATCATACTACGTGATATTTGTAGTTATACATATATTTAATATTATTATATAATAATGTTTAATATTTTAAAGAAAACAACTTAAAAATCTATTTTGTCCCTAATACTCTGAGATGGGTCTCGAATCCATGACATTTCGCAATTCGGGCGACTGCTATTTAGGGCCTAAAAGAACCGACGAATTTTTCAAGTACTTGTTACTTTTTCGCTACTTCAGAGCGTATTTTCAATGTTCAGGCAATACACCCAAACAAAGAGTGGCAGACATACAGCTGCCATTAACAGCGATAGTTTTTTTGTATATTACGATAGTTCACTCTTTTTCAATCTTTTATTATCCAAAGCAATACTATTGAATAAGACGTTACATTAAGCCAACTGTACTATTCAAAAAATAAAAACAATTGGATTTAGCCAACTGTACTATTAAAAATACAACAATTGGATATCATGATTTTTCAATAATATAGATGCCGATCCATTGTTGATGTAGACTCTTGGCTTTCTTGTAAACCTTTATTTTGATCTCTTAAATACTTACTGTACCATGCTTGTCCATATTCACGAGATATGTGTCTTTGAAAAATCATACTTAGAACTGTATGTAACAAAAAAAGATACTTGTAGTTTTAACACAAGATTACCTAATAAATTGCATTTGCCATTTATTAGAACTGATTTTTATAAGAGAAACTTATATGTTATCTCAATAAAAATATATAATAATATACCGAATGAATTAAAATTGTTGCCATAAAAATTATTTAAATCACGTTTGAAAATATGGTTAGTTGATAAATGTTTTTATTCGGTAAATTTATCGTTTTATTTGGAACACTTTAATTAAATGATATATAATAGTTCATAACTAAGCATATACAAATAGTTTATTTTTAAGTTATTTCATGCTGTTTAACAGTAAAATATTAGATGCTTATATTTCTTGACATCTTATTTTTGGAAAACCATATTTTATTGCAATAAATAAATTATTTGATTTGATCATTTAAACTTTAAAATCTATTACTTATTACAATACATCATCAGCATTCCAGTCATATGCTAAATATATTCAGTGTTATTACAAAAGAGACGTTAAACAGTGTTTTACCATGTGTTTATCTAAACTGTGTTTAAGAATATAAACCCTGTTTAAAATGATGTCTAATTTTCCCTATTACAAATTCATTTTTAAACATTGTCTAAGTAAAGAAACATTCGTACTACTGGCTTTCATTCGTTTATACACCTTCAATTCTATGCACGCTGTATACAAACTTATAATAAATTTTAGACGTAAAAAGATATCTTTTAAACACACTAGTTAATAATTTTTGTAAATGAAAATATTTAATTTAAAATTATCATTTTTAATTTAAATTCAAAGACATATAATTCTTATCAAAGTCAAAACTATAGTGAAATATTGTGAAAGGTAAGATACTCCATAAACAACATATCATGTGTCAACATGACATGTGTTTAAATTTAAAACAATGTTTAAGGGTTGTTTTGCCTTAACCAATGCTCAAATAGAACAATTTTTAAACACGTGTTCAACGTGTGTTTATCTTTTTTGTAATAACACTGATTATGTTTTGGTAATAAGTAATACGTTATGTTATGGTAATAAGTAATGGATTTTGTACATCACATGAAATGCCAAATTATCGACTGCTTATCCCATTTCTCTCTTATTTTTACAAGTTCTCATTTACATAATTGTAACCGATACAATTAGCCCAAGAAGTTAAACGCAAAACTTCTTTTTTTTTGACACATTTTTTTTTATTTCAGAAAAAAATGTTAAATTATTTGTGTTGGGATGAAATACAGAACAATTTTAAAATTACGAACATATGCACAATCAATACTAATATACCTAAAACTTAGACAATAAACAATACGGATTCTGTTTACATTGTTATTGATACAATAAAATATCTCTTGCTCGATTTGTTTTCATTTTATCATTGTATATAGCTAAATCTATAAAAGTTTTCAATTCTTGGACTATAAAAGGTCTTCAGATAAGTGCCTGCAAAAAAATTGTAGCTAAATATTACTTGAAAAACAAACATGTATGAGAAAAAAATTACAGTTATCTTTAAAATTCAATATTTTATTTATTTCGTTATTATACTCTTTTATAATA